CGGGGCTCACGCCCCGGCGCGCAGCTGCGCCGCTGGTCGGCCGGCCCCCCTCCGGGGGGCCCGCGACTCGGGGCTCATGCCCCGGCGTTCAGCTGCCTCTCCAGGGCCGGCGTGTGGCCTTTGGACCTGCAAGCTGAAGCGGAAAACAAGGTCTGAGAACTTGCAACTTGAGAAGATGATGGTTACCAGCCCTGCATTGCCTCAGGGAAGAACAGGAACTACTCTACCATTCTTGAAGTGAAGGTACTTAATGAGACTAGGACAGTGTGGAATGGGGTAAGTGAAGAGAAGAGGATAGAGAAAGATAGCAAGTGAGCAATAGAGAGACAGGACGTCAGTGAGAAACAGATAGGGTTTATTAACTGTTGATGATGACATGTATAGAAATCTCAACTGGATTGGTCTGAGGAGTGTTTCATGTCTATAGTATTCTCAACTGGATTGGTCTGCGAAGTATTTCATGATGGGCAAAGTATTTTTACAAGCAAAACGAGAAATAGCAATTGACTGTTTTATAAAAATAATTAGAATAATAAAGATAATGATTGGGGAAAACAGAAAAGATATGGAATGTTGAAGTGGGGAGATTAATGTCTCTGTACTGACTGACGTGCATGGCATTCCCTTTTGAAGAAACAATGTAATACACAGTAAAGTTATATGTAATCCAATGTAATATGAAGAAGATATGATGATAAAAAATAAAAAAAATAAAAAAAATAAAAAAATAAAACAGTAGAGAAAAATGTAGGCAAGAAAGGTATATATAAAACTTCTTTACCACCTGCTCAATATCTTTGTAAATATAAAATTGTTCTTAAAGATAAAGATTATTATTCAAAAAAAAAAATATTCCTCATAAGAGCTCACTGCTGCTCAGAGCTCATAAGCACCTCGTCCCCAACCTGGAAATGCCCACCAGGGAAGATATCCTAACACTTCCTCATGCTTTGCTATATGCCAGACGTGGCAATGACCCGTGGCAGGTTCTCTTTCCACACAGCCTAAGCCTGATGGCAAAACAAACGGCTCCCAACATAGTAATCTGAAATTCATAGAGGTCAATTCACAGTGATTAGGTGAATCTCAACCCCAAAGACTTTTTTATTTCCAAACGAATTATTTAGTTAGAAACCCAGGACTTCAAAAGTCCATCTCTGGACTCCCACGTAGTAGACTGCAGTTCAAGTCCCACACCCAATGGCCTAAAATTCACCCCAGGCGCATGTGTATGCATGCTCAAATCCAGAGAGGCGAACAGAGAAGGGATGATGGTGTCCATCCCCCTAGGGGATGATTTCTCACGTTCTCTCTGTCTCTGTCTCTCTGGTGAGCTCACGCAACCCTATAGCAAAAATCTATTTAAAAAAAATAAAATAAAAAAGGAAACTATGGTAACTTGACTAGAATATCGGAATTCAGAATTGGTCCAGACAGAAAGAAACCAGACGGAAGCCCTAAGAGTTTAGTCCTGAAGATACAACTAACCAACAGGGTTGCCTTGGGAAAGTCGCTTCCCTTCTCTGGGGCTCATCTGTAAATTGAAGGTGTGGGATTATATTAGCAACTTTCAAATGTTTCTAAAGCACTAGAATCTCCCCCCATGACTCTGAAACAAAGTAATAAAAGAAAAGGTGCTGGGAACCAGCAGTTAGCGTAATGGCTATGTCGCTGGACTCCCACGTGTCGACCGCGGTTCACGTCCTGGACCTGGTGGCTTAAAACTCACACCGGGCGCGTGTGCGTGCGTGCCCAAGATCCCGAGAGGAGAATGGAGGAGAAGGGATTGCGGCGTGACCATCCCCCCGGGGGGTGATTTCTCGCTTTCTGTCTCTATGTCTCTCTCTGTCTGTCTGGCGAGCGCACACGCCCTATAGCGAAAACCTCTCCAAAAAAAAAAATAATAATAATAAAAAAAATAATAATAAAGGTGCTGATGGCTGCAAGGTGGGGGTGCAAAGCACAGGCACTTGCAGGTCCCATCCCCTTCCTTTCCTGTAGTTCCTGAGACCCCTCTGAAGAACCCAGGGGTGCTATAGGACGCACTGTGAATAGAATACGGGGCCGGGCTGGTAACGCAGTGGTTAAGGTGCTGGACTCCCACAAGGGCAACTGACCGTCCTGGACCTGGCAGCTTGCTTGTTCGCTCTCTCTGGTCAAATTAAAAATAATCATAATAATAAATTTAAAAATTTTTAAAAATACATCAAATGACTAGGCCCTGTCCACTTACGCATGTCCTCAGAGATCAGTTGACACCATGTCCTTCCCCACTGAAACCTGGGGGACATCCTCACTGAGACCTGCCTACAGGTAAGGTGGCCGTCAAGAAACAGCTTTCCTCCTTAGTCATACTTCTGACGGGTTTCAAGAAGAGGACATTTGTTTTTTACTTTTAAGTTTATTTCCTTCATGAGAGTGAAGAGACAGACACAAAGAAAGAAACAGAGGAAAAGAAAGAGATAAAAAGAGACAAGCACCCTCAACAGGGTCTCATGTTGTGATCTCCCACCCCCAACCCAGCCTTCCTAGCCAGCCATGATCATGGGCAGGTGCACCCACCATGTAAGGTCTACAGGGGAAATGAACCTGCAACCTTCCCTATGGACTCATCATCACTTGAGCAGCGTGTTCCTGCTGTGCAAGAGAGCTGGCCCAACATTTGCTTTGTAGAAGCTAAGCAACTGAAGGGCTTTCATAAGATCAGGCATTGCAAATTATTCCTAAACTCAAGGGCCTCCAAGAAGTGAGGTGCAAGCCCTCCTGTTTGCTTTACGTTATCTAGACACGCACAGTACAGCCAGAACTGCAACCGCACACCACACAGTAGGGGCAAGGCCAGCCTCTTCTGACCAGAACAGTCTATTATTCTACATATACATTTTTTTAATTTGATGAAAATTTTGTTTCTATTTGAGACACTTCTAAAGTGGCTAAACAAAATAACAGGGACCTTTGCCTTGTGGCACCAATTCAGAATTTTAATACTAGTAAGGTCATAGTGACCTGAAACTCTGACTGGTGATTAAACGTGAATTTTAACCAATTACAAATGACACAATGCAGCTTCATCTGATGACCAAAGGCCCTCAACACATAGGATCCATAACAGAAAATAATAAATGCAGTTCTTGGTGGTAAAAAGGTTAGGAACCATTGATTGCAATTACTCACTGGCTAACTATGTCAAAACCCAAACTCAGTAGACCTTCTCAATAGAAAGGCCACACAGAATACTATTAACACCACTGGGCCATGCTATGGCTCATGTCTAAGATCAGAGCAGTAGCAGTAGTCTGTCACTGGAGGGCACATTCGTTGGCCTTAGCAGTAGTCCAGCTAAGTGTCCTTCCTGCCCTCCTTTCTAGTCAGTAGTGTGTCACTTAAGTAAAAGCTCATTGTATTGTCCAGAGACCTGCCTGGGCTGCCTTAGGTAGTCTGTGTAGAAGCTGGAGAGGAGAAGTCAGGAGCCAGACCGCATTGAGCAGTTGATGTGGTGCCCAGCTGGCAAGGGCAGCATTAAGGCCAGATAGGGACAGACTCAACAGAACAGGTATCCCGTGGAAGTCACATGTGTGGAGAACAGGCACCAAGAAAGAGGGAGGTCCTTTAGAAATGAGAAGAAAAAGAGGCCAGCAGGTGGCATGGTGGTTAAGGGCACTGGACTCCCACATGGCTAACTATGGTTCAAGTCCCAGATCTGGCAACTTGCTTTCTCACTTTCTCGCTCTTTCTCTGTCTCTCTCTGGTCAAATTAAAATAAAATAAAATAATAAAGTTAAATAAAATAACTCTTTAAAAAAAAAAAAGAAAGAAAAGAAAGAAAGAAATGAGAATAAAAAGTCCAGAAGGACAGAGGCTGACTTTCAGAGCCCAAACACAAACCTTCTTTCTGACGTTGGAAAAGTCCAGCCAGCAAACAACGGGTAGACTCCAGATTCCGATACATGTTGGTGGAACGTACACTGGGGGAAAAACGTTAAAAGGCAGAGATGCTCATTAGGGGAATATTTAATTATCATACTCTATTCTATAGAGCAGCTGGGAGTCTTTCAAGAGTACATAAAAGAGGCTACGAGGAATGTTTTACCACTCAGTGGCATGGCTGCCCCCAGGGACTTAAGGCCAATGGGTGTGCCTCCAGTGACAGTGACTATCTACTTAAAGAATTCTGGGACAAGTCATCCCCCAAACTACCCTGGGTGAAAATGGAACCACCTCAGGAGTGGGAAGGAAGGAGTCAGGACAGGTTTCCTTATGCCCAACATCTTAAACTGGTGCAACATCCCCTTTTCAAGCAACTCACAAGACTTCCTGTGGGTTAAAAGTTGGTGAGAGAAAGGGGGTGTCCTCCACATAGTTCTTCCTCAGTCTCTCTCCCAGGGCATACATCTGCTGCATGCCCACCTTGGTCAGCTGCCCAGCAAACATGCCCCCCTAGAGTGGGGAAGAAAATCAGAGGAAAACAAAAACACCTGGCAGCCTGCTGAAGTCGGTCCAGAGAATGCTGTGGGAGCTGTGCAGGGGGTTCCCCGGAGCAGGGAAACATTGCTCACCTTCAGGGTTGTCTCACGGTATTGACAGTCGTAAGGAGAATGTGGTTTCGGGCCGCCGGCTAGATTGGTGACTGTGTAATCAAACTGAGTTTGGGGCGGAACCTCTAATAGCTGAGGGCTCCACTCCACCTGCTATGACCATGGAAAACAACAGTGTTACCAAAGAGAAAAAAAAAAAAAAAGCTCTTGGACCTTAAAGTATTAACACGCGGTACTCAGAAGGCACGGCTGGAATTGCTCTGACACTAGGCCTGCAACCTTCCCATAGGAAGGAAGGCAAGAAACTTGAACTTTAGCTCTAATTAAGGGAAGAAAAGACTCTTGATGTCTTATTCCAGGTATCCACAGCCCAACCCCAAAGTAAAGAGCAGAAGCAGCCAGAATGCCTGGCACGCAAACACCTGGTGAGTGATGAATATGAACCAATGAAAGATGCTCTCCCTGACCCCGTGTCTGTAAAGATTTCTAAGGACTCAATCTCCAGTTTTCTATGCCCAGCACCCTACCCTTAAGGATTCTACTTAATGGCCTTTGTAACTACCAGATATTGCCCTTCCTTGCATCCAATTTCTGAAACATGCAACTGCCATCTAAGAAGCCTTTGCTTCTTCATCATCCTCCTTGTGATCTGACCCTGCCTGCACTGCACTCGTCATGGCTTTCAAAACATCTCAAGGACTCAGCGTTCCAACTGCCCACAAAACTCTCCTCCTCACTGATTCAGATTTGATGACTTTGGTTTTAAAAACAAAGGTCTTTTCTTCTAATCCCATATACCAGCTCCCCTTCCTAACCTCCTGTATATCTCTCAATACTACCAAAATTCTCTTAGGCCCCCAAATCAAACCTCTGATTCCCCACAGCTCCACCATCCAGGCACCAAGCCCAGTTAATGACTGGCTAGGAAAAAGTCACTCCCAGTGGTCCTTCTATTATCATAATGTCAGAGTATAAACCTCATGACCTCTGGCAGAAGCCCAAACAGACTTCCTTCCATCCCCACAGTCCATCCATCCATAACCACCTCAGTAATCTTTGTTTTAATTGATTAAATACATTTTATTAACAATTTTTTTCTTTTTAATCGCCAGTAATTGTGTATATGACCTACTTAGGGGTACAATGTAATGTTCTAATACATAAGAGGAGTCCAAAAAGTTTATTAGAAATGTGTATGATGGGGGCCAGCAGGTGGGGTGGTGGCTAAGGTGCTGGATTCCCACATGGTCGACCATGATTCTAGTCCTGGACCTGGTGGCTTGCTTTCTCACTTTCCATCTCTCTCACTCTCTCTAATTCTATACCTCTCTGGTCAAATTTAAATAAATAAAATTAAATTAAATGATTCTTTTAAAAAATGAAATGCATATGATGGCTCCATAGCACAGCTGTCAAGTGCTGTGTACGGAAAGCCAGATTCCACATGGCTGACTACAGTTTGAGTCCTGGCCCTAAGAGCTTGAAAAACTCACCAGGCACATGTGTATGTATACCCAAATCCTGACAGAATGGAGGAATAAAGGAAAAAAGATTGGCATGACCATATGCCACCAGAGGTGTTCTCTCTCTCTCTCTCTCTCTCTCTCTCGCAAGTACACATGCTCTCTAGCAATAAAAATAATTTTTAATGTATCTTATAAAAAAACTATGCATGGATTTCAAAAACATTTTTGCATCAAAATAAATTTGGATATGACCTACTTAGGGGTACAATGTAATGTTCTAATACATAAGAGGAGTCCAAAAAGTTTATTAGAAATGTGTATGATGGGGGCCAGCAGGTGGGGTGGTGGCTAAGGTGCTGGATTCCCACATGGTCGACCATGATTCTAGTCCTGGACCTGGTGGCTTGCTTTCTCACTTTCCATCTCTCTCACTCTCTCTAATTCTATACCTCTCTGGTCAAATTTAAATAAATAAAATTAAATTAAATGATTCTTTTAAAAAATGAAATGCATATGATGGCTCCATAGCACAGCTGTCAAGTGCTGTGTACGGAAAGCCAGATTCCACATGGCTGACTACAGTTTGAGTCCTGGCCCTAAGAGCTTGAAAAACTCACCAGGCACATGTGTATGTATACCCAAATCCTGACAGAATGGAGGAATAAAGGAAAAAAGATTGGCATGACCATATCCCACCAGAGGTGTTCTCTCTCTCTCTCTCTCTCTCTCTCTAGCAAGTACACATGCTCTCTAGCAATAAAAATAATTTTTAATGTAACTTATAAAAAAAACTATGCATGGATTTCAAAAACATTTTTGCATCAAAATAAATTTGGACTTTTATTCTATTTTCCCACAAACTTTCTGAAGCCCTCTCATACATGGAATGACTAAATCACCTTAATTAATAAGTTCATCTCCTCACTTATTAATTTTATGTGGTAGAAACACTTACAATCTATTCTTAGTAATATTCCAAAAAAGTCAAACTCTTAGAATAAGAGAGCCGAGTGATGATTATCAGTAACAGAGGGAATGGATGGGGAAAGAAAAGATGTTAATCAAAGGGTACGAATTTCAGGTGGATAGGATCTGATGCACAGAATGGTGACCGTGATAAATAATAATGCACTGACTATTTCAGAATCACCTAACTCATCTGGCTAAGCCATTTTCATCCTATCAAGTGTTTGCTTAATGTTTCAGAGGTGAGCATCTGGCCTTTAAGGACTTGCACACCTTGGCCCAGCCTTTGCACCCATGTCTGTCTCCACCCCTTCCCCAGCCCACACCCCACCCACCACTTCCCTGCACCTTAATTCAGTGCTTCTCTTGTCTGGAAGGATTCCTGTTCCTATCTGCCCGACTAGCTTCTCTCCAATGTTGAAGGATAGCTCAATTCTTACTTCCCCATCAGTGACTACTTTGGTTTTCAGTGATTATCTTCTTATTCTGAATTCCTACAGCACTTACAACCAAAAGAACAATGTTCAACTCAATTTCCAACTTTGTGTCATTTTAAAACTAACATTTTAAAGCACACTATGTCACATGTCGTATTTATCCTCACCCCTCCCAGAACTACCTCAGCAGTGCCACTGAGAATCTCAGGTTCTCTTTGCACAGAGGAAGCCCTCCATTTTCCAAGGAGGCAACACCTCGATCCCACCCACTCCTACACCCAAATCCCAAGTCTCCTCCCCACTGGTGTTACCCCAGCTGATATCCAATTAAGCGTTCACAGGGAGAGTTTCATTTCACAGTTCTGATCCTGACTCCCCTGGGTAAAAGCCTTCAAGGACTCACAGTCATATGGTGGCCCCCTTTCCTCTCTAGTACCCCCTGCCACTTCTTTCCTGCCCTACACATTTACTCTCTGGCCACACAACTTTGTTTTCTTCAGTACCATTCTCACACCTTTCAACACGACATTCCTTCTGCCTGGAATTTTCTGTCCCCTTTCATCTGAAAAGACTCTTCTGAATTTGGTAAGAATTAATTTAAACATTCCCAGAAGTCAAGACCACAACCCTGTACTTTCAGAGCAGTCTCGGTGGGTCTTTTTGATAGCATTTGCACAGCTGTATGAGAAGAATTCCTTTACTGATGCATACTGTTTAGTAGACTTAGCTTTCTGGAAACAGAAATGAATACACCCACTGACCTTGTATTCTAGGTGCCCAACAAAGGGCCTGGCATACAACAGGTACAATTTCTTTCTTTCTTTTTAATTTTTTTTGGAGAGGTTTTTTGCTATAGGGCACGTGCGCTCACCAGACAGACAGAGAGAAACAGAGAGACAGAAAGTGAGAAATCACCCCCCAGGGAGGATGGCCACGCCGCAATCCCTTCTCCTCCATTCTCCTCTCGGGATCTTGGGCACACACGCACACTCGCCCAGCGTGAGTTTTAAGCCACTGGGTCCAGGACGTGAACCGCGGTCAGCTACATGGGAGTCCAGCGACATAGCCATTACGCTAACTGCTGGTCCCACAACAGGTACAATTTCTAACTCCCACAATTTGCTATATTCTGTGGAACATAACCAGCTTGAGGTACCTTGACTCTGCCTTTCCTGAGTTTTCAGATAAGCAGAGAAAGCAAACTATGAATGTAAATGACAGTGAAACCAAACAAAAGCAAGTATGTACTGCATAAACACTGATGAAGGTCATTGTATTGATAGTTCGAAGGCAAGACAGATTTTTTCTTCTGCTGAGGGTTCAGGATAACTTTCGTAGAAGGAATGGCATTTGAAATGAGTAAGATTGGGACCAGCAGTTAGCGTAATGGCTATGTCACTGGACTCCCAGGTAGTCGACCGCGGTTCGAGTCACGGACCCGGTTGCTTAAGCTCACGACGGGCGTGTGTGCGTGCGTGCCCAAGATCCTGAGAGGAGAATGGAGAAGGGATTGCAGCGTGGCCATCCCCCCCGGGGGGTGATTTCTCGCTTTCTGTCTCTCTGTCTGGCAAGCGCACGCACCCTATAGCAAAAACCTCTTCAAAAAAAAAAAAAAAAAAAGAAGAAAGAAAGAAATGAATAGGATTTAGAGAAGCAAGAGACTCAGACTTGTGAGAGTAAGAGGTAGATTAGAAGAAAAAGGGTGAGGGGATGACATTGAAAACTCCAAGAATATGTAGAAAGTAAAGCAGAGATGGACAAGAATGTGCAGAGCAAAGAAACAGTTTCATTTGCTTTAACCTGGGAATAGTTTTCAAACATTTTAATTAGCAAATACTAAGTATAGTTGAACTTTATATTCTATTTATAAAGGCAAAAGCTAGTTGGAGTAGGAATAGGAACTCAGAGCCACAGCCACTCAGCATTCCTCCTACCCACAGGCTCCGTGGAGGAGCCTGAAAGCCAACAGTATACAAAGGGGGTGGGGGTGGGGCAGACAGGAGTCCTTAAGAAGTCCACAAAAAATGTAAATTATGAAAACTGCGCATGGATTTCAGGGCTATTTTTCCTCCACAAAAAACAAATGTGTACTTTAATTGCATTCTTCCACAGACTTTTTGAAATCCTCCCAGGGAAGACAGGATGCAGAAGCCACTTCCTTCCATCTTTTTTCTTTTTTGGCCATAGAGTGTGTGCATCACCAGAGAATGACAAAGAGAGTGAGAGGAAAAAGTGAAAATCACTCCCAGGGGAGATGACCATGCCACAATTCCTTCTCCTATAT